CTATATGTACACGTGGAGACAGATGTTTCCCCAGCCATCCCCTCTGGGACCTAATCAATTACAACTCCAGGGAAGGATTTACGATGTCTAGCACTGTTGATTATTTAGAACAAAGAGGAAGGGAACGAGAATGATTGCGCATACATTGTTGTGTGCTCGAACTCGTCTTCTTCAAAGTTCTTTCTCACACGGATACAGTACATGTAGCAGAAGATACGAGTGAATCAGCCTTTATCAGATATCCCAGGGCGGACGAGATATCGACGGGTAGTCCGCAAAACTCTGCCTACATGTGCATTGGTATAGGATATTACCCAAGTACGAGGGTGTTACCTCCCGAATATCATCCCGACTGTGTAGCAGGAGGGATGATATGAGGGTACGGTAACACCCGAGTACCCGGGTCAATATCCTACCTATCCCAGGTACATCTACGCATTTTGGGGATCGACGCTACTGCGTTCTGAATGCAATTACCAAGGTACATATATACACAAGAGTACATAACGGGGGGTTATGTACTCTTGTGTATACCGAAAACAAGATGCTGCCTTTCTTTTCAATCCAGTCAAGGTTTGAGAGCGATGGAGATCGGGAGATAAGTTGCATTTTAGTAGTTGGACTAGAGAATTGACGAAGATTGCACTGTTATGATACATAGTCATTTGGTTCAAAGTAGGTATGGGCCATACTTCAAGTCACGGCGAGATACAACGTCATTATGGATGCTGGTGCTGACTTCCTTGGATGGGCGTGGAACCCCTGGTGAAAAAAACCCACGTAGGGAGCACCACACAATTCCCCAATTATCGCCGAAGTCGCACCAACCTCTAGTCTAAACTCAAGACAGAAGTGTTTATTCTACTTGTACCTAGCTTCGATCTTGGCCTGAAACACTGGCCGGAAATACTGGTCCATGGTTTTTATAGACAGTGCTTATATTCCCATAAACACAAGACAGAGGTGTTTATTCTATCTATACCTAAAAAGTTGTAGCTTCATTCTTGGCCTGAAATACTGGTCCGAAATACTTTAGTGTCCAAGTATACTATAGCACTGTAAAACCGGAAAGATGAACGTTTTAATTAACAAATAATCTACGTGGAGATAATAATTTTAATATAGCTATGAATAGGATGAAGGCCGCAGACATCACGCAACTACGTTACTTGTTTGACATGTATTACCGTGTATTTTATAACAAAAAATATTATTGAAAACCCAGAATCGATTTTCTTGTTCCTATCATCAGTGGGAAAAAATACGGAACTAAGGATACAACTAAAGAAACTGAAGTTAAGTACTGTAATTAGAAAGGTGTTAGAAATAACAACAAAATACAAGTGCAATAAAACCACTAGAGGAAACGCAAAAAGGTAACAAGATTACGTAACCAAAGGCGAGAAGGCACTGAACTAAGTGTCAACCTACGAATACAACTTCAGTGCAACAACGTACTCCTTCTGCTTACACAAAACAGGCGTATGAATACGGATACAAACTGCCTCAAGGACTTTCAACTGTTGGACATAACGCGCACGACACAGTACAGAAAAATGAGAGTCATCATACACACCAAGACAGTCAGGACCAGATAACAAGTGTAGATACACAGCTGACTTCTTACGATCAACACATTCATCCGCCTCATCTCGCTCCTTCCCACCCGACTCCTCCTCGTCCATCTCATCGTCCTCTTCCTCGTTCCGCTCGTCATCCTCAGGATCATCATCACTACCATCATCTGGCTCGTCCTCTGTCTCTTCACCAACCGTTTCGTCATCCAATTGCTCTTCTATCCTCTGATCACCTGTCTCATCCTCCGTTTCTGTACGGACCACTTGTCTCCCATTTGCTAGGTGCTCGTCCCGTGAGCGGAGTTGTTCCTCCAGATCCGCTTCACTCACTGACTCATGATACTGCTCGACCCTCCTTCTGTTGG